GACATGTCCTGATCAAAGATAACTCCAAGATTCCTCACAGTGGTGTTGGAGGCCAGGGCGATGCCATCCAGGGAAACTATATCTTTAGATAATGGGTCACGGAGGTGCTTAGGCCCCAGAACAATAACTTCAGTTTTATCCGAGTTTAACAGAAAATTTTTGTCCTTTGTCTGATGCAGTGCGGTCTCTGTGCTATGATGAACTCTAAATCCTGACTGAAAATCCTCAAATAAACGATTGCTCTGTAGAAAGTCACACAGCTGTTTAGCGACTGCTTTCTCCAGGACCTTAGAGAGAAATGGAAGGTTAGATATAGGTCTATAGTTGGCTAAAACATCCGGATCAAGGTTGGGCTTTTTCAGAAGAGGTTTAATAACAGCTACTTTAAAGTACTGTGGTATATAGCCTGTTGATAGAGACAGATTGATCATATCTAGTAAAGAAGTGCTTACTAAGGGTAAAACTTCTTTAAGCAGCCTAATTGGGATGGGGTCTAAGAGGCAGGTTGTGTCACGTCCTGCCTGTTTAAGTTTAGCTCTCTGTGGGTATTTGATATTTTGATCAATTCAGTATCTGTCTTATAGTGTTTTGGGTTCTGTCCTGTCCTTTATCTTAGCTTCAGTCTGTGTTCCTTGATGGTGTTTGCTTCTGTCTGTTCCCCCAGTAATTCCTCTGCTTGCTTGTCCACTAAATACTTTGAGTTCCAGTTAATGTATGGTCTTGTGTTTTGCATCTGCGAGTGTCTCTCTGTGCCCCCCCTGCTTTCTCCCTGCCTGCCTGTGTCTCGTTAGTCCTGATACCTGTCACCTGTGTTGCTCCCGCCCTGCTCGTTAACCCCTGTGTATAAATGTTTGGTGTTCCGGTTCTTTCTAGTGTTCAGACACTCAGTCATGTTTGTTGGGAGGAGTGTTCTATCTGCCTGCTTGGACTTTCCAGTTAACTAAGTGTAAGCCTGTACCTGTTCCCACTTGGATTAAATACACTGAACTGCATCTGCTCTGCCTTGGTGTCTTGCATTTGGGCTCTCACCTCCTCTACGCTCACCTACAAATCCTGACCGGTTGATGGTTTAGATGAAGAAATTATTGAAGTTAGTTGGTAAAGATTGAGGGAAGAAAAGTTCCGAGCAGTGTGGGATGCAGCATTAAACTCCAGGTACAAATGAGGTAATCACAGACGGCTGCTGCCAATCACTTTCTGTAGCTGCAAGGCAAGGGGAAAGGGCAGTACCTGGATGAGAACGGGGGGGGGGAAGAGAGAGAGAGATCACACACACAATTAATAACTGGAAAGCACAAGAAAACATCAACAGGTGTGACAGCAGTTTGTGAGTGAATCACATGCACAATTCTTAGTCAAACTAATCTTAAGGAATGTGACAGTTCTTTGGCACGCTAATGTTCTATATTTGTGATGCGTCATGAACACTCCTTTTTTATTAGAACAAGTTTAAATTCTCATCAACCTGCTGCATGCTATCACATGCCACATCTGAGGTGGCTGGTTTGGTTGAAGGATAAAACATCAGGCATTGGTAAATGAACTTCTTGAGTTGGAATCTTGCAGCTTTTAAAGGTAAATTTGGTCAATACTATTTTTTATTTTCTCATGTAGAGCGTTCTAAACAGATTAATGAAAATATAGTGGTAATGTAGGTGTCCTGAAGTTAAACCAATGTTTTATTTCCTTTTTCCCTTTTTTCAGAGGTGTATAAAGATCTTATGTAATGAGCTGTTATGTTTTTATTAACTTAGAATGAGCCCTTTCTATCTACATATCTGCGGATCCTTTTTCCATGGATATTGCCATGTTTCTACAGTAGCTGAAAACGGACAGCCCTACAGAGCGTGTTTCATCACTACGTTGTTGTTGTTGTTCTTCTTCTTTTACAAACCATTCTTCTTCAAACATACATATTCACTGCGTTGAACATGTATGTTTGAAGAAGGATTAATAATATACAGCAAGTGTCGGAAAATCTTTTCATCGCACAATTTTTTTATATCCATTATATGGTGGGTGACAATATAACACATAGTATTTACAGGTGCTGGTCATAATTAGAATATCATCAAAAAGTTGATTTATTTCAGTAATTCCATCCAAAAAGTGAAACTTGGATATTATATTGATTCATTACACACAGACTGATATTGATGTTTATTTCATTTTATTGTGATGACTGACTGATGTTTGGTTAGCTCAGTTGGTAAAGTGCAAGTTGCTCTACTAGAAGATTGCATGTTCAATCCCATGTTGGGATAATTTGTTTGTTTTTTTCCCCCCTTTCTTCAACAAACTGATCATGCAGCAACTGTTTCTCATGCTCACAACAAAGCGTGTGTGTGCCTGCGTGCGTTCGTTCTGGTGTTTCATCCAAATCCATCAACCTACGGATGCTTTTCATTTCCCCAGTATCTCTATGGCAGAGGATATTTAGAGGAATCACATTTTCTGAGGCTCTTTCAGAGGTGTGTCAAGCAAGCTACAGACTCTTTTTTAATGATCAGAATGTAGATCAGAAAGTAAAATCTCAATTCAACTCGAAATATAGCATTGCTGTAAAAAAAAAAAAACGTTCTTGGGCTTCTATTTTGCAGGCAAACCATTAAAGAAGGAAGTGATTATGTGAGCCGTTGCTGTCATGACTGAGATCTATTTCAGCACTGCTATCAAAGATAACGCTAGACTAGACAGTTGGTTGGAATTCGCAACCTCACTGCTAGATGCCACTAAATCTTACACACATAACCTTTAAACAATTGAGAACATAGCTAAAAATGATTCAGTTAAAGAAACAGCTTGTGATTCTGTTTGTTCTGTCCATAAGCCCACTTTACTGCACTCACACCCAGGTTCAAGTTCACTCTAGCAGATCATAACTTCTAAGTATAGTTAGTTCCTGTTTTGGGGGACATTTTAACCTTTTATTGCAGTAAATTGAGACAAACAGGACATGAGGACAGAGGGAGAAATGTTTATTCCAAAAATAATGTCAAAATAAACACCAACATAGAAGAGTGCACAATCGGTCAGTGGATTAATCAGTCATGTAAACCTCCTCATCCAAACTCAGAGGGCAGAGGGGCGTTCAACAAGTGGTGGGGCGTCGAGTACAGGAGACAGGCAAGATGTCCTAAACCAATGAGCATTAACTTACTGAAACAGCTGGACGATGCAGTAATGACCTCACATCAGAACTAAAATATCTGTCCACTAGAACTTGTTATTCTTTTTGTATTTGATTAAATAAGTTATGTAAATGAAAAGAATGTTGAGGAATGACGATAGAAACTAAAAAGATTTTTAGTTTTTGATTTGATATGACTGTGGGTAAACTTATACCTCACAGCTTTAGTGATGTCACTGAACAATGTTGGGTAGATATTTAAAAACCTGCTCCCTTTTTTAATAACCTGATCTCTCAAATAACAGGTTTCACTCTGAAGAATGGAAGGTCTCTACATTTACAGCACCTCACAGAACCAAAGCTATAACTACAGCAACATCACCTCCACCGACCAGAATTATGGCTATCCATTCATTATTAATGTGCTGACATACATAATTGTTGCTATCGGCATTCCTCTGACCCTCGTCGCCGTCTATGCTCTTTATTATATGGTATGTACATTCTGACTGAGAGTTTATTTCCTGTCTGTGTCATGTATCTGTCCTACAGTCTGTCTGTAAAGGATCTGGTTTTGGGGCTAGGTGTCAGGGGGCTTGGAAAAAGGCTTGTAATGATCTATAAACTTAGATACAACTGAAGAACCTGACCAAGTAAATTGTGAAATTTTGTTGTTTGGTTCTTAAACTATTTGATGGATTGCCATAACACCCACACACAACATCAATATCAACACACACTTCTAGTCTTACAAACACACACAGTAAGTGTTCATTGTTTTTTTTCTTCTGCTATTTTCCTTCCTGGTACAGGTACATTGGAATATGAGCGCGAAGAAGAGGAGATTACACTTACACTTATTAATTTAGCTGACGCTTTTATCCAAAGCGACTTACAATTGCTATGTATGTCAGAGGTTGCACGCCTCTGGAGCAACACATTGGTGTCTCACAGTGGATTCAAACCTGGGTCTCTCACACCAAAGACACCATCACCACCCCGGAGATGGGATGAGTGGGTACTTATGGAAATACCGGGAGTGATGTCATTGATGTGTGGTCCCGCTCCTGAAACTCTGCTAGTAGCGCCACTTTACCAGCAGGGACCACAATCAACAGATACGATTAAATGATTTATTGATGAACAAAACAAAAAGATGTATGAGGCTTGCAGTTGCTGAATAGACATTTGAAAATGTTGTGGGGAGGCTATGATAGGGAAATCTGCGGTAGCACCCGGGCACGACGGACCCCCAAAAGGCTTACAGTTATTTGAGAGGACATTGGGTGATCTGGGATCTTTGAGATCTGAACAAATGCAATGATGGTACGCTCGGTAAGACCAGCAGCGCATGATCTGTATTAGATGCTCGGGAATGACGCTGTGGGAGGCTGAAATAGTAGCTCAGATCCTGGAGGAGTGACTGAAGTAATGGACGGTAGAAATGCCTTACGAAAGAGTACTTTGGCAGAATTGCTGGTAGAACTGGAATGGAGTAGCTACTAGACTGGATTCGGAAGATCTGACATGGTTGTGCGCTAGGATTTCCAATGGTTCACAAGGGTCTTGAAAGGGTTCAGAGATGACTGGACTTTGAAGAAAAAATGTGAGCTGGCCCGATTGGCTGGACTTCAGATCACTTTGGTAGAAAGCAGTATTGTTTGGGGAATGACTGAATTGCGGGCATGACGCCGAAAGTCAAGCAAAGGGGAGATGCATTGAAATGAAACCGAAGAGAGCAAGTGTAAATGTTGCTTCTGTCTGGATAAATCCAGCTCATGTGTTTGAGCCAGAACGCTTCATATCTGTTGCTGAAAAACTGCTGCAGAAGCTGCAGGAAATCTGGTCCTTAGTCTTGTTCCTGCAGTGATTGGCCAGTGGGTCATATCTGAGATTTCTGTTGGATGAAAAAGTCAGAAATGGCTCTGACTGCAGCTGCTGGGCAGAGCAAGATGACAGATTTGGGAGGAGGTGGACTTCACAACATGTTTCCAACTGCTTGTTGACTTTTACCAATGTTTTCCTGCAGGTGAGAAGTGATCATGTTGCTCCCATCTACCTCATCAACCTTCTCATTGCTGACCTCATTCAGTTCTTCTCCATGATCGTAGCGGTGGTACCAAATGTGGATATGAAGTTATATGACATCTTCTATTATATTTACCTCTCTGCTCTGATTGCCAGTGTTTACTTCATGGTCTGCGTCGCCCTGGAAAGGTATCTATCTGTCTATCCAGTATGTGTGGAGCTGCTTCTGTGTCTGAACATTATATTAGTTTATAACTCTGAAGCTCCTCAAAGACTTTGTGTCCATCTTGTGTTACAGGTATTTGTTCATCGCCCACCCGCTGTGGTACCGCTGCAGACGAACCATCAAGACCTCTGTGGCGGTCTGTGTCCTGGTCTGGGTCCTTTCTCTTGTCTGTTTTTTTCTTTACAATTTTTTTCCTGATAATGTTTGCACAGACACAATCTCAGCCGTTCTCCTCCTCCTTCCCTTCCCACTGTTCATATTCTTCCTGGTTGGGACCCTCAGAGCCCTGTCTGCTTCCATCTCAGTCCCCTCTGATGAAAAACGACGAATTGTGGGAATTTTGGTTCTGGTGCTGCTTATTTACACTCTGCTGTTCCTGCCCAGCATAATTTGGTATCTGGAAGTAGACTATGATGAGACCCTCGACAGCCTCTCTCTGATGTTAGTTAAGTTCAGTCCTCTTGCAGACTTAGTCCTGTATGTGTTCATGAGGAAAGGGATCATAGACAAGCTTTTGGCCTCTGTGTGTTGCTGCAGAATGAACAGCAAAGATACCAGCAGTCCACCAGTATGAATGATGACAACATTTCCACAGTCAGCTTCATGTAGGCAGAGAAAGAGGGAGAGAGAGAAAGGGGAGGAAACAGGAGGAGAAATGGAGGCCAATAGAAAGGATAGATATACTACAGTTTTTGTCAGTTTTTATGAAATTGTACATTTTCTGGAAATCCAATAAAAATCAGTTTGTAGACCAAACTGTGAATGTTTGTCTTTGACCAACTCAGTGAATTAAAAGCTGACAAATGAAGGTTCAACAAAATCTCTGCTGGTTGACAAATCTCTGTTGTCTATATGAACATAAAGCCCAACCTGCTGTTAGCAGGGAGGCATCCTGCACTTTCTGACCAAGTGAGGTTTCCTCACAACTCTTAAAGTTTTCAGACTTTTTTAGATAATAATTTGGGGCAGAAATGATAAAGTGTGACAGGGACAGTCACAACAGATCAGACCAACATGTTTCAGTAGAAGTTAGTAAAGTCTGCTGTATGTTTCCCCTTTTTAAACTTTAGCTCATTATTAGCTGAGATCCAACAAGAACAAGCAGATTTCCCAAACTGTCAGACTGTTTCTTTAAATACTTTGGCTTTCTGCAGGGGACACTTTGGAAACTAGCAAACTGCATTTTAGGAAGATAAACTGTTAAAAGCTTAAAGTAATGACTTGATAAGCTGCACAGTGTACACAGTTAGGATCATCATACATGATACAAACTGAAAATAAAAATTAAAACATTCAGTGTTGAGTCATTTCAACTGTATTCAGAGCTCACATCTAAGTTCCTTCTCCTTAGCCAAAAATACCCGTTTGGTCGGTCACCTGATCCCTTCCAAATGTCCGGATTCAGGCTGGGTGCACAGGCAAGGGTTAGGGTTGAGCAGGTTGAGGACCCAAATGCAGGATTGGATTCAGGTGGCTGGTTTATTAAACTCAAAAACTCATGATTACAATAAAAACATAGCAGGTATTCCAAAAACCACAGAGCAAGCAGAACACTCAACATCTACGACCAGACACGGGCTGATGGAACAAGCAAACATTTACACAACAGAAAACAAGCAGAACGACCTGAACCTGCTCCAGAGCCATACAGTCTTTCATCACTATGTCGTCACCTTTTACGGCATGAATGGATTTTTCATTTTATTGCTTTATGAAGTAAATTTAGAACAATGTTTGGAACAGATTTGAGTGAATTAAATAAATGAATCAGATTTTTGAAGTGACAAGTAGTTCTTAACAGTGAGATGAAAAAAGACCACTTATTCAGTGCCCGAGGGTTTTAATGTGGAAACGCTGACACACAGCTGAGCTTACAAGCCATGAGAACACATTAAATGAACACATTCATATTACTATGCCTCTTAACTTATGCATTCACTCTGTCGTCAATATTCTGTCTTCCTGCATGTGTCAGCTGCAGCCGTGTTACTTCGTGTGACTACGTCTGTTTGTCTAATAAAACAGTTCACTCTTCCTTTGTAAAATATGATGCTGTGTTTCCAGTGGACTTGTTTGTCATCTGCTGCTAACGCCACCTCTTATGTGAATGCGTTCACGGCTGGATTGGGAAAGCCTGGGTTGACTTTGTGGTACAGGCCCCAGGTGGAGCACATGAGGTAATTAAGACACAGGCAAGCACAGACATGTTGCAAAACAGCAACAACATAGGCAGAGGCCAAACATTATTTTAATTAAATTACTTTAATGTCAATGTTTTGGCTCAGTACTTTATATGGCAGCTGATGACTGAACAGTTCATTATGTCTATTCAGAAGTGTGTGACAGTGATCCCACAGTTATACAGGTGAAACTTGAAAAATTTGCATATCGTGCAAAAGTTTTTATTTCAGTAAAAGGTGAAACTAATATTATATAGACTCATTACATGCAAAGTGAGATATTTCAAGCCTTTATTTGATCTCTCTCAGAAAATTTTAATATTACATGAAATCAATAAAAAAAGAGACTTTAAATAGAGAAATGTCAGCCCTCTGAAAGGTATAATCATGCATATGTACTCAGTCCTTGGTTTGGGCCCGTTTTGCATGAATTACTGCCTCACTGCGGCGTGGCCTGCTGAGCTGTTATGGAAGACCAGGATGCTTCAATAGCGGCCTTCAGCTCTTCTGCATTGTTTGGTCTCATGTCTTTCATCTTTTTCTTGGCAATGCGTTCAGGTCAGGCGAGTTTGCTGGCCAATCAAGCACAGTAATCCCATGGTCATTGAACCAGGTTTTGGTACTTTCGGCAGTGTGGGCAGGGGCCAAGTCCTGCTGGAAAATGAAGTCAGCATCTCCATAAAGCTGGTCTGCTGAAGGAAGCATAAAGTGCTCTAAAATGTCCTGGTAGACGGCTGCGCTGACTCTGGACTTAATAAAGCACGGTGGACCAACACCAGCAGATGACATGGCTCCCCAAACCAACACAGACTGTGGAAACGTCACACTGGACTTCAAGCATCTTGGATTGTGTGCCTCTCCATCCTTCCTCCAGACTCTGGGACCTTGGTTTCCAAATGAGATGCAAAATTTGCTCTCATCAGAAAAGAGGACTTTGGACCACTGAGAAACAGACAGTTCTTTTTTTCCTTTAGCCCAGGTAAGACTCTTCTGACGCTGTTTGTTTGACAAGAGGAATACGACATTTGAAGCCCGTGTCCAGGACCCGTCTGCGTGTGCTGGCTCTTGATGCAGTAACTCCAGCCTCAGTCCGCTCCTTGTGAAGCTCCCCCACACATTTGAATGGCCTTTTCCTGACAATCCTCTCCAGGCTACGGTCATTCCTGCTGCTTGTGCACCTTTTTCTTCCTCACTTTTCCCTTCCACTTAACTTTCTATTAATGTGCCTTGATACAGCACTTTGAGAACATCCAACTTTGCAATGACCTTTTGAGGCTTTCCCTCCTTGTGGAGGGTGTCAGTGATGGTTTTCAGCACAGCTGTCAGGTCAGCAGTCTTCTGCCATTGAACCAGACTGAGAGACCAATTAAAGGCTCAGGAACCCTTTGCAGGTGTTTCGGATTAATTAGCTGATTAGAGTGGGACACTTTGAGCCTACAATACTCAACCTTTTCACAATATAATAATTTTCTTGGATTTTGAATTTGGGGTTTTCATAAGCTGTACGCAATAATCATCAAAATTATATCAAATAAAGGCTTGAAATATCTCACTTTGCATGTAATGAGTCTATATAATATTAGTTTCACCGTATAAGTTGAATTACTGAAATAAATTAACTTTAGCACAATATGCAAATTTTTCGAGTTTCACCTGTAAGCCCTGAGTCATTGCTGTACAAGACGCCTCCTTTTCATCCTGTCTCTACCGGTTAGTCAGTCATTATTCATAACCTGACAACTGTATGACCAATAATAATAATGATACATTTTATTTGATGGAACATGAGATAAAAACAACATGTAATAAATGCATAAAAGCAGCAATGACAAAATGAAACATAAGAAAACATTGCATCATCAAAAAATCATTAGTAAAACATCTGAAATCAAATGGAAAATCAGTATTGTGCCTTGTTACAGTGAGTATGCTAATTTGAGATTAAAAGATTACTTTTAAAGAGCAGTTATAAAATTTTGTAAGTCCAGTATATGAATGAGGGGGGGCAGAGAGTTCCAAAGTTTGGATGCAGTGAAGAAGAAAGCTCTAGCACCTATTGTGCTGAGGTTGATGGTTGGTAGAGCCAGAAGACTTCTAGCTTCAAACAATGGAGGTTAAAGTATTTAAAATAAATCCCAGTGAGCACGGCAACGCTCTGACAATAACAGCCTGGTAACATGCTTCAGGTCTTGGCCAATCAGAAGACAGTGGGCTTTGAGAGAGGGGGGCTTAAAGACACGGGAGCATCTACAGCTCCTTTCAGACAGAGGCTGAAATGAAGGCCTACATGAAGAGTCAGTATAAGATAGGAAATTATTAGTTATTTTTTCAACTTTGAATCATGCAAAGCTGCCATACAGGAGTCACAGAACTACCATATAGGACTGGAAATGCAGTTTAAGAGGTCTCCTTTAACCAGCGTGTAGACAGGTATGATGGCTTCATTAATGGGGAGTGAGCTGATGTTGTTTGACAGTGTAGATTATCAAACGCCATTTCCACCACGTGGCTTTATTTACAACGTCTGGATCATTTGAGTTTTGCCTTTGTGAACGCAAACCGGACAAGTTTGAAAATTGAAACAAGGCATCATCCTCACACTAGTTGGATTAGAAACCTGATGTCGTAATACAAGAACTTAAGGACTCAAAGTGCGGCGGAAGACTGGGTGGTAGGTTCCAACAGGGCAGAATTGAGAACACGGAGGAGGGGAGTTTGTCTAGGCAAGATGTGAGCTGAGCGGGGTGTGGCGTTCAGCAGGGTTCCCGGAGGTAGTGTGATCCCGGGCACAGAGAAAAACAGGTTAATCCAGGGAGACACAGAAATTGCAAAGAATCTTACAGGAGCAGATAGTTGGCCTAGACGCATGTACCACATGTGGTTAACTAACAATCTGGCAAAGAATGTGAGGAGGACTGGGGTTGAAATACTGCAGGAGCTTGATTAGTGGAATGAGGACTAGGTGTGCCGCTGGAGCCAGAGAGTGTAGCCACGCCCAGACAGACACAGACAGGGAGGACAGACAGAAAACACAGGGAAGGGGGGAACAAAAGAACACAAGGAAGTGGGGAGATTCTGTAGCACCACAACGCCTGACCTTTAGGTGTGAACCTGCCCTAAGGCTATTCCACCATCCAGCCTACTCCTAATGTCAGGTCACAGGAAAATAAAAGAGATGAAATAAGACTCGGGCTAAAAAAGAAATCAGTAACAGCTGTGCCCACAACTTTACAGAGACCCTGAAACAAGTTCTGCGTTGACTGATCACAAGAGGAGGCGGACCCTGTGTTTACATCAGTGACACTTGATGGTCAAATGCAGTCACAGTGGATGGACAGTGATTACCAGATGTGGAATTTTTATATCTGAGCTACACATAATGAAGCAGTAGTAGTAGTAGGTGGAACTAATTTTAACTATTCATAGGTTTAGTCCAGTGGTCAAATAAATAATACTATTGGTGGAACTATTTAGACATCTATTACATAACAAGGGGCCCCAACTACACTTGTGGGGTCGCGAG